TGAGCTGCTGCTGAGTATTGAGGGTACCAGGGAGCCCCGCAGCAGGTGTGGCCACTGTCAGAACATCTGGTGTCACTCAGGGAGATGTGGCTTGTGTTGAGACACTTGCCTTCCTGTGTGCAATCAAGGGAATGTCTCCAAAGACACAGATGGATGGATAAGGGAAAAAAAAAAAAAGGCAGACACACTCCCAGGGAGGAGGCTGCTTTGGAAGGGGAGGAGGGGGCCCAGGAGTCCAGGGAGGCGGGCGGCTGCTGAGCTGTCTTCCGGTGGTGGTGGCCAGCGGCACCATGAGAACCAGTACAAGAAATGTCAGCAGTGGCCAGGAAGAGGGACAGCCCGGAGGGACAGGGGGTTGCTAAGGCTGCCCTGTGTCCTATCTTCCCCAGATGTTCACAACACATGTGCCTGGGCAAGAGCGGCAGCCCAGGCTAACCCTGAGGGTCTGACAAGGGGACAAAGCCATGAGACAACTTGTGTGACCCAAAGAGCCTCAGGTGACACGGATCATCCAAACAGCAGGTGCAAGGGCAGCAAGACTCCAGACTATTGACCTTTGAAAGGTGTTAATAAGCCCAGGGTGGCCAGTGAGGTCCCACACGCAAACCCTCTCCTTGCACCAGCGAGGGACTATGGGACTTGGGGTGGCCTGGCTCAGGCACAGCCGACCCTCGCTCTGTCCTGATTACACAGATGGAAGACCATCTATGCCCACCGTGTGCTGGACGGGAGTCAGCCGGGAGGGTGCGGCTTTCAGTGTCATGGGGAGGGGAGGATGAGGAGACCTTGCACCAGAAAGCCAGCGAGGGCGAGGCGACAGAGGAGCAGCTGTGCGAGCCATGCGCCTGGGAATGACCTCCCAGAGAAGTCTCAGAGCCGTGGTGCTGTTGGGGTGCCACTCAGCACATTCAGTGCCCCCTGGCGGCCGTGAGGAGCAGGAGGGGGCTGGACCAGCACGCGGGCCCCACCCCAGGTGGGTCTGTAGACCCTGGGCTCTGCTGCCTCCCCTCCCTGTGGTCCTGGGGCAGCCCCCGCAGCACACCTGGCAACAGTGCCAGGCCCCTCCCCACATACACATAGCCCTGAGGTGTGTTCCCTGAGTGGAGGGCCACCCCCGAGGGCTCAGAGGCACCGGACCCTGAGCGTGAACATGGTACCCGTGGGGAAGCCACAACCAGCCTGGACGAGCTGAGGTGGAAAACAGCGGATTGGCCTGATAGTCATATCACGGATCTCTCCCTGGGAGGCACCCGCGGGGACCCTGGGCAGGTGCCAAGACCTGGAGTTGGGCTAGGGAGGCCAAGCAGGAAGTACTCCCAGAAGTACCACATAGGCCCCTATAAGAGGAAGGATGGAGGGGGTGGGAGGGAGGACGTGGAGCCGTTCAGGTTGCCAGCTGTGCTGGGTACCGCTCCTGGGGGCTTGGCTGGATTGGGGAATACGTGAAGAACAGCCAGAGAGCGAGGCCCCCATCAGCTGCAGATTGAGGGGAGAGGGGAAGAAGGCCGTTTTCCAAAGTCCCTGCAACCAAAGTGTCTGCTCTGGTCCCAGGAGCCACCTCTAGTGCAATCCCGGCTCCGATGGCGCCCAGGAATGTGTGTTCTGTTGCTGCTGTGAAGAAACCAAGTTTTCGCCGGCGCCACGGCTCACTAGGCTAATCCTCCGCCTGCAGCGCCGGCACCCCGGGTTCTAGTCCCAGTCGGGGCGCCGGATTCTGTCCCGGTTGACCCTCTTCCAGGCCAGCTCTCTGCTGTGGCCCGGGAAGGCAGTGGAGGATGGCCCAAGTGCTTGGGCCCTGCACCCCATGGGAGACCAGGAGAAGCACCTGGCTCCTGGCTTCAGACCAGCACAGTGCGCCGGCCGCAGCGCCCTGACCACAGCGGCCATTGGAGGGTGAACCAACGGCAAAGGAAGACCTTTCTCTCTGTCTCTCTTTCTCACTGTCCACTCTGCCTGTCAAAAAAAAAAAGAAAAAAGAAAAGAAAAGAAAAGAAAGAAAAGAAACCAAGTTTTCAAGACCTCCTGCAATCACATACTGGCTTTGTTTAACGTCGTGCACAGAAGCAGCACACGCTGTCCCTGTGAGCCTGTGCAGCTGGACAGACAGCGCCCGGAGTCCTGGGGGTGCCCTGGCTGCTAGGATGCGTCACGTGCACCTGCAACTCCCTCTACTGCCTCGGCATGCTGCCAGGAACTTAGAAATACTCTGTTGGTGCACTTGACAATTTGATAGGGACTTTGAGCAGTCAAGTCTGTTTGTTCTGGAAGACGCTGGGCTTGTGCTGGCTGATCCCCCGGGCTGGGTGTGAGGAAATTCTGGAGTACAACACATTCTCCACGTCCTCCGTGGGAGCCACCTCCCAAGCCTGCACTTCCTGCAGCCCTGGGGGACACCACATGTGGTGATGGGTTTTACGTGGAAGGGGTTTCTTCAAGCTACATGGAGGTCCCCTTCCTGCAGGACTTACAGAGCTTTAGTGTGCAAATGTGCTTGGTGGGTCTCTGATGGGGGGCTCTGTGGTCCCTCTGGTTTGGATTAGGCTGAGGACCAACCTCTGGGAGGTTCTGAACAGAGGGTACCTCGGTCGGTTATGCCACACTCAGTGCCTCAGATTCTCACGCAGGACTGGGACCCCTGTCCACCCCTCTCGGGCCAAATTCATCAGGGCCTTCCTGGCCCCAGTCCTCCCCCAGAGTGGCAGGGCCCCTTCCAAGGGTCTCCCCGTCTCGTTCTCCTGTAGCTCCTGGGCACAGTGCTCCCTTTGTGAGCACTTACCCTGTGGAAGGTGATTGAGTGGGCACAGGGGACTCCGCACAGAGCAGCCCAGTGCAGGGTGACAGCTCTGGCTGGACCCAGCGTGCACTCAGGCCTTATCAAACCTGCTCACGCCATCCCCCCAGTGCCACATCCCCACATAGCCAGGCCGGGTGCTGCCCTCCAGGGTGGTCTCCACAGCTTCTGACTTCAAGTCCCTGTCTCAGTATCCTCACTCGCCCCTGCTCTGGCCCTACAGCGAGCAATGGCCTGGGAGCCAAGGAGCCTGGTTCGTTTCCTGCTTCTCTCCCAGCCCCCTGGGCCTGCTCTGAGGCCTTTGCAGAATGGGGCACAGAGCAAATGGGCTAAAAGTGGGAGGAGTGGAAGCGCAAGCAATGCAAGGGAATGAGACGCCGCCTCGGGCAGACCTGTGGTCACTGGCTGAAGGCTGCGGTCACTGGCTGAAGGCGGCGCTCACTGGCCGGCTGGCCGGCCCTCAAGCTCAGAGCCTTCCATGCTCCCTCCCTCCCACCCCCGACTCTTGGGCCCTTGGCCTTGTCACTCAGGGTTCTGCACAGGTTGGGCACAGGGTCTAGGGCTGGTTCTGAGGCTACAGTTGATACACAGTGGAAGACGTGGAGCAGAAGGCACGGTCAGCAGCCCCGCACACAGCCCTGAGAGCTGCACCTTTGCGAGTGTGGGGTCTGGGGGACAGTGGGTTCAGATGGAGGCCCCCACTTCTGAGAATCGTCCTCAGCTTGAAAGGGGACCGGAGTGCCTTCGTCCTGGGGCTGGACACAGGATCGAATGAGATGTGCAGAGCCTCTGAGAGCCTCATCCTCAAAGCCGGCCTGGGGCCTGCAGCTGGGAACGGTCACCCCCCAGCCAGGACCCCAGTGCAGAGGGCCAGGGCTGGCGCCCAGACCCAATTCTCGCAATGAAGGAACCAATGCATGCCTGTTGGTTCTGTAATTAAGCCAAATAAACAAATTAAAAACCCTGGGGCTTGGGTTTTGTGTGTCTGTCTCAAATTTCATTTTTCAGCATTTCATTTGTATTGCCTTGTATGGAAGCATTGTTCTTCAATGGGTTGAAAGTCTTACAATAACCAGCCCCATGCTATAATCAGATTTCAAATTTTTCCCCAAGTGCGACACACAGCCAAGAAGACAGTGGGGCTATGGTGGGGTCGAGCGCCTACCAGGGTGAGGAATCCCCGGAGTCCCCCATCCCTGGGACAGGAATTGCTTAGGATTCGCACAGGGAATTCTACACTGGGGTCCAAGCACAGGCTAGGTGGGTGCACACGGAGCTCCTGGGCTCCAGCAGCACGCTCTGAGCAGCAGGGGTGCCGTGACCTTGACAGGAGCCAGCTCTGGTCCTTGCACCCCAGGCCCCTGGGACCTGCCTAGCCCTGAGCAGGGTACCAGCCTGCTGCCGCGGCTGCTCTGTGAGCCAGGAGGGCCAGCTTGGTGGAGGGGAACCCTGCCTGCCACACGAGGCCAGCCAAGCACCCAGGGACTGAGTAGGAGACACACAACCCAAGCCTTGCAGCAGGCTGCACTGCCTAGGTGGGGCAGTCTCCACCTCGGGGGGCCATGGTTCACCGGCCCGTCCACTCATCATGGCTCACTCGAAAGGTGTCAAAACAGTTGTCAATGGTGAGAACATCCCCTTGATTTCATCGGGAAAGACTCCCAGGAAAACCAGACAGGACTGATGCGACAGGCAAGAAAACCCCAGGCGTTATGCCTTCCTACACCTGCTTCTGGTTTTCTCTCTTTTGAAAGGAAGAAGGCGGGAGGAAGGGAGGGAGAGAAAGAGAATGAAAGCTAACCACCTCCACACTGGGGAAATACAGGTGTTTATTTAGGACTCCCTGCGTCTTTTAGATTTTCTCTAAATGGCATATTTTCAGGGCTTTTTTCTTTTTTAATTCGACAGTGTGTTCTAGAATTGATCCCTGTAGGTACAGGTGGCTTGGTTCACTCAAGTGCTGAATAGTAGTCCGTCGTTTCAATAAACAAAAGCTGATTCACACCTTACGCGTGGGCTACGGGGTTGCTTTCTGCTGGCCACAGCAGGCAGTGCTGCCACGAATACTCCCGTGCCCACGTGCGCCAGCGTCTTCCTAAGGCAGACTCTGAGCACACCCGCTGTGCTGCACCACTATTTAATTTTGCTTTGGACCTTGATCTTCGACTTTAAATGTGCCATCCCTCTAGCAAAACAGAACGTGGGCAGAGCTGGAAGTGCTAGGCCAAGGAATCGCGTCTTCCATCGCCACGTGGACGCTGGGAGCCCGTTCCCGGGAGAGGGGCTGCTGGGACCAGCGGGGCTCCTCGCAGCATCTGCTCATTTCATCAGGACTCCGCTGTGTGTCCTTGGAGGCCCCAGAGAAGAGCTTCAGAGTTGACGAACGAGGGCAAACAGCCGTGGCATCTGCCTGTGACATGCACAGGGCCAGGCTGGAGGACCTGTGGCCGACCTGTGCGTCATGTGCGTTTGTTTTTCCCCGTGGGGCAGCTGGTGCGGCTCAGCAAACACCGGGCAGCTTGCAGCTGGGAACTGGCTCCAGACCTCAAAGGAGGGCCAAGTAGGCGAGGGAAGGCGGCGGGAACAATCCACACCCATGTGATTCCGTGGAAGTTTTCAGTACCTCCTTAAAGAGTAGCTCCCTGGGCCACGGGTGGGGTCTTTCATTCTTCCGGTGTTACTTTTACTTGGCTTGAGGCTGTTAAGTAGGCCGCAGGGCAAGCTACGCTGCCAAGACCTAACTGTGCTGAGTTTCTACAGGAGGGTGGCAGGCACCAGCACAGGGCGAGGTCACCTGGGAGTGGGGGACAGCCTTGACCTTGGACTTAGGAACAGCTAGGAGGCTGTGTGTGTACATGAGGTGCTCTTTTTCAACCTTGACCATCATCGGAGTGCTTCCTCCTCCTCCTTTGTTGAATTCCCTACTCCCAGACTCTACCCATCAGGGCCCCATGCATAGGCAACGCAGCGGGGGGAGGTCAACAGGAAATACCAAATCCAAGAGCGACAAAAGCCTGGTCCTCTTCTGAGAGACTGGCAGGAAGAGTGTAGATCAGCTTTGTGACTGAGGGGGCGTCACTCGGGTGTATCTTTCTATGCTTGACAGAGGAGAGCTTTAACTCTTTATTTTTAAAAGGAAGCCTTTTGTTTCTTTTTCTCTTGCATTTTCAGGCTCATAGGATGTCAGAGATTAGCAAATACCTGACGCTACCTCTGTGACTCCCCTCCCAGCTTCTGGAGTGGGGACACTGCAGCCCGGAAGCTGTGTGCCCACGTGGTGCAGCTTCTGCCTGCTGACCCTGGGTTTCTAGCCCCGGAAGGTAACCTTTCCACGGACAGTCACCTGGCTCCCGCTGTGTGCCTGGCTTCTCTCCCCGGTGCCTGGCTTGTGGTGGGTGCTGGGTGAGTGCCTGCTGGGGGGATACCCCGCTCTGCCTGCTGCTTGTCTGTCACCACCACTGGGCACAGCGACAGTGGGCAGCACCCCGGAAAAATCAGGGACCCCCACTGAGCCCTCAGGATGCCAGAATGAGGCAAGGGAGGTCCAGAGGCACCTGCTGTGGCCGGGTAAGGCTCCTGGTTCTGCTTCCATGCCAGCCGAGGGGCAGTTGGGGCAGCAGGGTGAGGGGTGGTCTATGCAGGCGTCTTGCACTCGGATGGTCACTTAAGGAAGCCCTGGGTACTCAGGATTCCAGTGCCAAGGCTGGGAAAAGCACACCCAGAGTCCAAACCTAGCGCTGCTGCAAGGGTCAGCCCCAGGCAGGGCAAGGCCCTTCCCACAGCTTGGCCTCTGGGGAGCCTCTTGCCCTGCCCTCATCCTCATGTAGCCTCAGCCTGGCCGCCCCCCTGTTAGAAGCGTTGGCTGTCCCCTCACCTCTGCCAGTCTGTGACTCCATGAGCCATCAGCTGAGCCCCTGAGCCCACACGAGAGCCCCCAAGTGCCTCTGACACACAGCCCAGGGTAAGGCAGAGTCCAGCGGGACTCCAGCATCGTGGAGACACCACACCTGCCGGCTCAGGTGAGCAGACAGAGCATGAAGGTGGGGGCGGCAGAGACCGCAGGAGTCAGACTCAGCGGCAGGAAATGCAAGGTCACCTCCCAAACAGAGGGCCTGATGCAGGAGCTCCGCACGCCGATGCCCCTGCCCACCCGATGGCCGGGTGACAGAGCTGGAGACCAGCGTGCCACTGGCCTTCCATCCGTCTGCTCGCAGGGTGCCCGCAAAGCTCACTCACCTTCTGGGACCCCGACGTGGAGCTCTTGAGCGAGCCCCGCTTGAAGGAGCTGCTCATCTTCCTCACGGAGCCCATGAGCCGGCCTGGGGCGTCGCTGGTGCAGCCGGACCCTGCCGCAAGGGGCCACCCCTGTGCAGGTGAGCAGAATTGGAGAGACCCACTCAGCAGCACCCACGGTGCAGGGTGAGGCCGGCAGCGGGGACAGCCCCGGTGGAACCTGTGCGGGTGACCGCTGCCGACTCCAGCCCAGCGCCCCAGGCTCTCTCCTAAAACATCTGTAATCGGGCTTAATCCCTCCCTCCCCACAAGGTTTATAGGGGGGCAGATTTAGCAAATGGCGATTGAAAGTAAATCCACTTTGAGAAAGTGCTGGCTGCAAAGGGTAGCCAAGTAGGAAGGATTTGGCTGTTGAGAGAGACGCACAGCCAGAGCTGAGAGCCACCTGGCCTCACCCCTCCCTCCCGTGGTCCGGGGTCCCCTGAGTCTCAGAGCAGGATCCCCACCCAGGCCCCAGCCCCTGGGGGTGATCACAGCTCCCAACCCGCGCAATCATTGAGTACCTCCTCCCCTGTGGCCTTGGCATTGAGTCATGGGTACCCTCTGCTGGGTGCTGGTCTGCACCACGCTGCACTGGGGGGGTCTCCCTGTCATTTCCCATTTCTGGGGTGCCCGCCTTGCCCCTCTATAGGGCAGCTGGTGGTGCAGGCCTGGGTGTGTTGCTGTGCCCCAGGCACAGACGGGGCAGGGAGCTGGATGCGAGTCAGCCTTGGCACCGACCTCCTTTCTCTCCTCTGGGCTCCGTCAGCACCCCCCACCCCATGTACAGAGGAGGGAACTGAGGCTCGGAGGACAAGGCCGTGCGCTCCTGTTGCCAGAGCTGAAAAGAAGTCCAGTAAAGGATAAGTGGCCAAGTCCACTTATAAGTGAAGCCACGCTCCACTTGTGCGTCTGGCTTCGCACCCCAGGAGGCAGGTGCGAAGAGTGGAGACCCAGCCTCCGCCTCTTGGGATCTGGTTAGGAACTTGGAAGGGGGTCTTCCTCCCCAGAACATCTCCCACCCGCAAGTTCAGCCTCTGCCTGCCACCTGCCTTCCCTTACCATCCCTTTGAGTTGCCATGGTTTGAGCTTCTCTGATGGGCTGATGGGCCACGTGTGGTATGCACCCAGTGCTGGGGACACTGGGGAACAGCAGGTGACAGCCCTGCCTTCCTGGAGCTGCCTGGTTGGGGGAGGAGAGATTGACACCTGAAGCAACAAAGCACGTGGCAGCTGGCTGGTGGCTGGGAGGTGCCAAGGAGGGAGAGAAGGCGGGGAGGAGGGACCGCCTGGGGTGCTGGGTTCTGAGCCTGATGGTCTGCTGGGGGTGGGGGTGGGGGGAGGGGTTGCGGAGAGCAGGGAGGGAGCAGAGTGCAGGGGTCTGCGGGGAGGATTTCCAGGCAAAGACAGTGGCAGGGCAAAGTCTTTGGCTTGGGAGCAGGGTGAGGGCGTTCTCAGAAGACTAGGAAGGCGGAGGGGACGGGAGGGGAGGGGACAGGGCGACTGTGCCGGCCCTGGAAGTCTTCTCAAGGGCCTGGGGTTTGTCCCCACGCCGTGGTCTGCACTGCAGGAGAAAAGGACCACGGAGGCTCCGGAAGTGGACTAGCTGGAGGAGCAGGGCAGAAGGGGAGCCGGCCTGCTGGACAGCGGCAGCTTGGAGCAGGGCGGGGGCCTGACCCTGCCAAGACTCTGAATTACAGCTGAGTGGGTGCACAGGAGCCTGGGGTAAGGCAGGTGGGGCAGACAGAACCAGGCAACCTCGGGCTTCCGGCCAGAGCTGCTGGGAGGGTGGCGTACCCCGCGCGTGAGCCTTCTCCAGGTTCCTTTTCAGTGGCCTAGAAGCAGGTCAGGGTCGTCCTGCTGACCTGGTTTTCCTCCTGGCGCCCTCACACAAATCCTCAGCCGCCCGCGGGGTCTGGCCTCGTGCACACAGGCTGCAGTGGCTGCAGACCCGATGGATGGCTCTGCTCAGCCCTCCTCTCTTCTCAGCACCCCACCCGGATGCCCAGGGGCACCTGCAGCGCTGGCTGCCCTCAGGGCTCCATTCCTTGTGCCCATCGTCAGAGCTGACTCCACCCGCACAGCTCAGAGCTGCAAGCCTCTGACAGCCGGGGTCCGCTCTGTTTCCCACACCTGGTCTTTCTCCCAGTTTCTGGTCTCAGGACGCCAGCAGCAAGACACAAAGTCAAAGGCCTGGGAGCCCTGAGATGCCTTTGTGCTCTGGGGCTCCCAGCTCCCGTCACCGCCAAACCATGATCTCCCAGCCAGCTGGAAGGTCGATGCAACTCACAACCGTTTGAAAAGAGTCCATTTTTAAAAATGCAGATCTGGCCAGGAACGCTGCTTCTTAAAGTCCCACAGGGCTTAGGACTGAACCCAAGGTACTGCTTCTCCTGCTCCCCTCCCTCGGCCGGGCTCCTGCCTGCTCCTGGGCTCTGTGGAGGTCTCCTGTCCTCAGCAGCTGCTCCCTCTCTGTCCCAGACCTGTGGCTTAGTCCCAGCACTTCTTCAAGTTTCCGACCATAGAAAAAGCATGGAGACCTTCCCTACGGGGTTTCATGAAGTTGGCACAATTCTTTCATCAAAGCCAGGGCGGGAGAAGGCAGCGGGGCCCGTTCATTTGTGAAAGGAGACAGACTCATCACGAATGTGGCAACGGGGATGGGCACTTTGGTGCAGCCATTGAGCTGCTTAGGACACCTGTGTCCCTTACTGGAATACTGGGGTTCAAGTCCCAGCTCCGCTCATCCTGCTAAGGGCACCCTGGGAGGCAGCAGCCATGGCTCAGGGAGTTGGGTCCCCCCCTTTCTCTTGGGAGACCTGGTTTCATTTCCAAGCTGCTGGCTTTGGCCTTGCCCAGCACCTGCTGCTGTAGGTTTTTGCAGAACTACCAGATGAGACCTCTCTGTCTGTCTGTGCCTGTCTTTGTGTCTCTCTCTGCCTGTCCCATAAATTAATTCAATTTAATTAAATGAAAATAGAGAATGCACCAAGTGAAGTTCTTAAAGAACCACACCATGAGGCCAACATGGGTCCAACTTTCTCCCAGGAATGCAAGGATGACTCAGCACTGGAAAATCCACCCACAGAGTTAAGCACATTAACAGATTAGCAAAGAGACGCTCCACGATCATCTCAATAGTGGCCAAAACCATATGGTCCATCTTAGTAGGGGAAAAAGGAAGAAACCCAGGCACAAACACCCTTCACAATGCTTGGTAACCATTCTTTCTTAACACAGAAACAAGCAAACCCAAGCCCATAGCAACCGAAGAACACAGGCAACCCCTCTAACCTCGCGACAGATGTCTACCAGCGGCTCCCCAAGATGACACAGAGAAACACTGGAAACATTCTTACAGACGCCAAGGACAGAGCAAAAATGTCTACTATCCCCACAACTGCACAACATTTTCTGGAGTTCTAACCAGTGCAGAAACGTAGCAAGACAAGAAAGAGAGAAGTAGTATAAACACAGGGAAGAATAAAAAATTCTCTGCCCATAAAAATCCAGGAAAATCAGCAAACAAGCTGTTAGCATTAGTAAGAGGGCTCGGCAGAATTGCCAGATACTGATTCAACATAGAAGAAAACCGTGGATTTCCTGTCTTCAAGCATATTCAATTAGAAAACGATTCCAATCAAGTTGCAAAATAATCAATAAGACACCTGATAGCAAGACTAGCAGAAGCATGAAGACCTATGTGAAGGAAATAATGAAATCTCAGTAGAGCACAGGAGAAAAGACATTGCAAAACGCATCTTCTCGTTCATTGCTGGAGTACTTTGTGGAGATCAATCTAGCCGTATCTCTAAAATAAACCACACGTACCCTTGGACCGGCACCTGCTCTTCTTGGAACCTAGCCCTTCGAAGTGAGAGCTCTAACATGTAGAAATATTTTTTCAAGCACTGTTTTGGGAAACCTGAAAGTAAAGTCAACGCCCTTTAGAAGAGGAAATAACTCAATACAACACGGTAGATGCCTACCAGGAAATAATAGGCAACCACCGAAAACTTGAGGTCAATACCAGTTACTTTGGAAGGCTACCCATAATATGCTGTGGAAAATAGGATGCAGAAGACGTAGACAAGCGTATACACTCTGATGTAATTTTGTCATTAAACAAAACATAAATACGGGTATAGAGAAGCTTCTATCTGTGTCTCCTCTCTCCTATGAATGTTGCTGTGAACACTGAGAGGAAGCATAGATGTGACACAGTTAGCCTGTTTCAATTTTGGTTTTAATGTTTAGCATCAGACCGTTTCTTGACCCACAATAAAAAATACCGATGCCTGTGCCTTCCTTCCTTTTCGTTCTCTGGCTCAGAAAGAATCACTTTCAGTTCATCCGTCTGCTTCTTTGTTATTTACCTCTTTATTCTAAATAACATGATTTTAACTTGATTTTCTGATCCCACGATTTCAGACATTATTCACCGACTTTCTATTAAGGAAAACAAAGACCCAGGTCCTGCACGCTAGCCCTCCTCAGGCCTCAGCCATGCCCCTCAATAGTGCCATACGCTGCAGTAAATCAGTCTCTAGTGTTTTTGAGACATTGTGTTTACAGTTCATAAAACATTGCTGTAAGCCCCTTCCAGCTTTTTGTTTTGCCTGGAGTTGTTACTTGCCGGATCTTCCTTTATTTAATTCATTTAATGCCTGACCCGGACTCTCAGTCTCCATATTGCCATATTGGTGACATGTGCCCTCCATTTGCTTCCTGGGGACGCGTCAGCTTCTGTCTGGTTGCCACAGCTGTAGCACTGGGGCTCATCTCCCTGGGACAGCCCCCTGCCTGCTCCCTGGCCCCATTGCTCCCTCTCTCTTGGTTTGCTTCCATACTTAGTGCTCAACCGCCTTTTGACGAGAATGTACGGAAATTAAAATTCTTTGAGTTATTACATAGATGCAAATGATTTTATTCAACCTTCATATCTGACGGATAGTTTGGTTGAGTATAAACTGTCAGGCAAGAAATCATTTCCTTCAAAACACCAAAGGCGTTGCTCCACCAGTTCAGCCCTCAGTGCTCTCTGAGAAGTGCCGTACCATTTTGATTCATGATTTAAAAAAAAAAAAAAGTATTTATTTATTTATTTATTTGAGAGGGAGAGGAAGAAAGAGAGAGAGCCTTTATTCTTCTGGTCTGCTACCCCAAATGCTTGCAACATCCATGGCCAGGCTGGGGCTGAGGCCAGGAGTGGGGAGCAGATCCAGGGTTCCCACATGGAGCCCCGTTACCTGAGTCTTCCCCTGTCTCTAAGGGTGCACTTGAGCAGAAGTGGGATCACAAGCCAGAGCTGGGAGCTGCACCAGGCGTCCCCATGCAGGATGCTGGCTCCCTAGCTGGCACCTTAGCCACCAGACCCAGTGTCCACCATGGTTTCATGCTGGCATTTTTTTTTTAAGATTTTGTTTATTTATTTGAGAGGTATGTGGTGGAATGAGGTGAAAAATTCATGCCAAGATGGCCACTGAGGTGAAAAGGTCATGCCAAGATGGCCGCTGAGGTGAAAAGGTCATGCCAAGATGGCCACTGAGGTGAAAAGGTCATGCCAAGATGGCCACTGACAACAGAAACTGCCTGGCAACAGGCCGTGATTGGATGGCTTCAGAAACCACATGACAACAGAGGAAACCATATGACAACAGAGCCTGGCTGATGGCAGGCCATGATTGGATGGTTTCAGAAACTGCCTGGCAACAAGAGCCTGCCTGGCAACAGGTTGTGATTGGATGGCTTTGGAAACTGCCTACAACAGGCTGTGATTGGTTGGGGCATAGACAGCCCCTTGACCAGATTGGCTGGTCTTGACTATATAAGCTGTTGTACTAACTCAAATAAACGAGTAGTACTAACTCAAATAAACGGGCTGCTTGCCTCAACTCCCAGGTTCTGTGTGGTGACTCAGCGCCTCTTGCCCCCACCATGCTCCTCCTCTCAGAAATGAATCCACTGCAACATTGTTGAGAAATCAACAGCAACATAGGTAAAGTTACAGTGAGAGGGGAGAGAGACAGAGACAAAGGTCTTCCTTCTGTTGGTTCACTCCCCAAATGGCTGCAATGGCTGGAGCTGCGCCGATCCAAAGCCAGGAGTCAGGTGCCTCCTCCTGATCTCCCATGAAGGTGCAGGGGCATAAGCCCTTAGGCCATCTTCTACTGCTTTCCCAGGCCATAGAGGAGAGCTGGATCGGAAGAGGAACAGCCGGGACTAGAACCAGTGCCCATGTGAGATGCCAGCGCCACAGGCGGAGGATTAACCCACTGCAACATGGCACCGGCCCCTCATGCTGGCTTTGAACGTGACTGGTTTATTTCCCTCTGAATGTCATCACTCCATCTCTTGTGTACTAAAACCTAAAAATGATGCACCTTAATACTTTTTTCTAGTTAAAAACAGTCTAGGCCAGCACCACGGCTCACTTGGCTAATCCTCCGCCTGTGGTGCCAGCACCCTTGGTTCTAGTCCCGGTTGGGGCACCAGGTACTAGTCCTGGTTGCTCCTCTTCCAGTCCAGCTCTCTGCTGTGGCCCCAGGAAGGCAGTGGAGGATGGCCCAAGTGCTTGGGTCCCTGTACCCGCATTGGAGACCGGGAGGAAGCACCTGGCTCCTGGTTTTGTATCGGCGCAGCGTCAGCCATGGCACCCATTAGGGGAGTGAACCAAAGGAAGGAAGACCTTTCTCTCTGTCTCTCTCTCACTGTCTATAACTCTACCCGTCAAAAAATTGAAAAAAGAAAAAGTCTGTTGTGTGGGTGTTTGATGTGTGCCCCCAATCTGGAAATCCAGGAAGCGGTATTACACTATTTCTAAAATCCCCCCACCTCCCTCCGTCCCCCAGTTTCTCTGCTTTTTTCTTTTTATCTTGTCTTCTGCAACGCCTGGCCTTCAGCTGTTGGGCCTGCTGGATCGAGGCCTAATTTCCTTCACTTTGTCTGATCCGATCTTCTGGGAGACTTCCTTTACTTTTCCTGACACTCCTTACGTTGAATTGGCTGTTGATGATCCATCTCCGTAGGTGTTGTTTTCTCTCTAAATCTATCCCTCTTTACTCGCTGGAGGTATTCGTCCTACCTTAAGGACTGTTTTATTCTCTCCTGACATTGTGTCTTCAGCACTTCCCATGTGATTTGTTTTGTCTGTTCTGCCTGCTTGGTGATCCTCTCAAGTGCTCTGAATTGGAGCCTTGGGGCCAGCATTGTGGCACAGTGGGTTAACGCCCCAGCCTGCAGTGCCGGCATCCCATATGGGTGCCGGTTTGACTCCCAGCTGCTCCACTTCCTGTCCAGCTCTCTGCTGTGGCCTGGGAAAGCAGTAGAAGATGGCCCAAGTCCTTGGGCCCCTGCACCCACATGGGAGACCTGGAAGAAGCTCCTGGCTCCTGGCTTTGGATCAGCTCCACTCTGGCCATTGTGGTCATTTGGGAAGTGAACCAGCAGATGGAAGACTTGGCTCTCTCTCTCTCCATAATTTTGTCTTTCAAATAAATAAAATAAAATAAAAATCAATGGAGAATTGGGGCCCTGAGTATGTGCCTGACCAGCGAGATGGGGGGTCTACAGGACCCGGTATTTGGGGCCTGCCAGCATCAGTCTACACTGTCTGCAGAGTGCTTCGCGCAGAGAGGAGAAAGCTGCTTCCCAGGTTCCCAGGGCTGTGCAGGGAGCCAGGGCCAAGTGTCTCCCCTGACCAGTGCCCGTGTCCAGCGTGGCGGCTGTGCCTGCAGCTCCCACATCCGCAGGCCTGGGACTTGGCCTCTGCAGGAGCAAGCATCATCTCCCATCAGGTAGGGCCCTGAGGCCACTTGGCAGCAGATGGAGCCTATGGAGACCTGGTTGCCTAGCAGGCTGCCTCGTGACAGCCCCTGTTTTCGTGTTCTCCCAAGGGTTTCGATGTCCCCAGATCCCGAGCTTTCCCAGAACTGTCAGGTGCATTTGAGCTTCCCGCTGAGGAGTCGGGGCCCCGCTCTTGCCGCTCTGCCAAGCCAGGGGGTGCTGGGTGCCCCTCCTGCCTCCCAGCTTCCTCGATGCCGTTGTTCTGCTGATCTCTTTGTCCTTTAGGGATAATGCTTTTGTCATCCATTTGCTGTCATTTTAGTGGGGTTTGGGGCAGGAGCAGAGGTTAATGCACATGTTCAATCTACTGTGTTTAACCAGAAGTCCATGAGAGATTAAGGACATCAGTGCCCGGAGGTGAGGTGGGCAGTTGAGGGGCTCAAAAGAAAATGACCACATTAGGAAAGGCGTTTAAAATTGTCCTAATGCACGTCTGATATTACTGTAAGTGTGTGTGTGCGTGTGTGTGTGTGTGTGTGTTACGAGGTGGGAGAAAGGGTGGTCACACAATGGTAATTTTTTTATCTCCGGTGGTGAAGTTTTAGATGCAATTTATTTGCTTTTTGATGAATGTCTGGAGAAGAGGAAATTGCAAGGGGCAGAGACCACTTTGCCATGACTGCGGGTGAAGCGAGCGCAGCTGTAGGGAAACACAAAGTGCCCCCCAGGGGCAGCTGCCTCCGAGGGCAGTGCACGTGCGGTCCCCGGCTCCGAGTAAGGTTCTCACTGAAGTACGGGTTACAGAGCTCAAACTGCGAGCAGCTGAAGTGCCTGGCAGCAGGGGAAGGCCATGGGAAGGATGGCTCCAGGGAGAATGACATCACCACTCTGATTGACTCAGGTGCCGAATACGGGTGTCCCCTGGCACCCGCAGGGGAACTGGCTGCACGGTAACCTTTGGATACCCACATCCATGGGTGCCCAACTTTCTTTTATAGCATGGTGTGGTGTTTGCATAGACCCTGCACAATCCTCCTGTATCCTTAATTTTTAAAATCTAACTAAAATTTTTTTTTAATTTGTGGGGCCAGCATTGTGGCACAGTGGGTGAAGCCACTGCCTGCAATGCCAGGGCATCCCATAAGGAGGCTGGTTCAATTCCTGGCCGCTCCACTTCCGATCCAGCACCCTGCTAATGGCCTGGGAAAGCAGTGGAGGATTGCCCAAGTCCTTGGGCCCCTGCACGCACATGGGAGACCAGGAAGAAGCTCCTGGCTCCTGGCTTCTCTTGGCCTAGTCCAGCCGTCACAACCATTTGGGGAGTGAACCAGTGGATGGAAGGTCTCCCTCTGTGTGTAGGTCTCTGTCTCTCCCTCTCTCTCTAACTCTGCCTCTCAAATAAATAAACAAATAAATCTTTTTTAAAAAAAATTGTGCGTATGTGCATGTGTGTGTGTATGAGAGAGAGAGAGAGAGAAGGAGAGGGAGAGAGAGAGAACCTCCCATCCATTGGTTCACTCTCCCAAATCCCACAATATCCAGGAACTAAGAACTCAATGATATGCAT